TAAAAAACATTAAAAAAAAAAAAAAGAACTTCCTTCCTTTAAGAAAAAAATTAAAGTAAAATGTTCCTCGGAGACCATTGCAAGGTGAAGCATGAGAGCCAGAAGGCTTGGCTGCACCAGGAGGGAGGGACAGGATGACAGGAGACAGAAGGCAGGCACTCTCTGGAAATCATCTTCCCAGGCCCTGCTGTGAGCAGACTTGATTAAAGGTATTTATCTGCACAACTGCACCCAGGGTCTAAAAGAGTATCCCTGGGGCGCTTGGGTGGCTCAGTCGGCTGAATGTCCAACTCTTGGTTTTGGCTAGGGTCATGATGCCAGGGTCACAGGATTGAGCCCTGCATCTGGCTTCACACTGAGGGTGGAACCTGCTAGGGATTCTCTCTCTCTCTTCCTCCTTGTCTGTCTCTCTCTCTGCCTCTGCCCCTCTCCCCTGCTTGCACTCTCTCACAAATAAACAAACAAACAAACAATAAAATTTAAAAAGAAAAGAGTGTCCCCCACCTGCTCTGCTGCATTTTTTATTGAGGCAATATTCCCCTGACAATATTTACCATTTTCCAGTGCACAAGTCAGTGGAATTTAGTTCATTCACAACATCGCGCAGTCATCACTTCTATCTAGATCCGAAACATTTCTATCACTTCCAGAAGAAACCCCATTTAGAAGTCACTCCCATTTAGAAGTCACTCCCCATGATCCCTTACCTGAGTCCCAGCAGTCTGTCCTGCCAACCACGAATCTGCTTTCTGTCTCTATCCCTATCCTGGACCTTTCACATAAGCGGAATCACACATTAGGTGACCTTTTGCGTCCGGCTCCTTTCTCGTAGCATGACTTTTTCAAGGTTCATCCACCTCGTAGCAGGTGTGATACTTCTGCCTTAACTTTCCAACACAGCACTTACAATAGCAATTAGCACAGACACGATTTCCCTCTCCTCCTCTTAGACTATAGCTTCCTGCTTCTCCTTCCCGCTCAAAGCCTAGCATGAAGACGGGCACAGAGCAGATTCTTACCATCTGTTGGGAGAACAATAGCAAAGCCATACGCCGTTCCCAATTCTCATCCAAGCCCAGCACCTAAAGTTTATTATCCTCATTTGACAGCTGAGGAAAGAGGAGCTCAAAGGGATTCAGTAACTTGTCCAAAGTCACAGCACTAAGCAGAGGGGGGACCCGGATTCCAGCCCAGGATCGGCTGACCCCATGCCTGTACCTGCCTAATGCTATCACCCTTTTCCCTGAGCAAGAAAGTTCCTCTCAAAAGCAAGACTTGGCCTCACTGCTCCATGGCCTTAGGAAAGCGACAGCATCAGGTTATCCAAGAATAATAAAAACTTGGGAGTGCCCATGTGGCTCAGCCAGTTAAGCGTCCGACTCTTGATTTCAGTTCAAGTCATAATTTCACGGTTCGGGGGAGCAAGCCCCGCACCAGGCTCTGCACTGACAGCACAAAGCCTGCTTGGGATTCTGTCTCTCCATCTCTCTCTCTGCACCCCCCTCCCCCCCACCCCGCCCATGCTGTCTCTCTCTCTCCCTCAAAATAAATAAACATGTTTTAAAAACAGGAATAACAAAAACTTAAAAGGAAACGCAGCCCCCAAGGATTAAGTTTAAAATAAAGGCCTGCCAGTAAATATTATTACAGGCTTAAAAAAATGTTAATATACTGAAGCCAGGCCCATAAATGGGAAATGGGCAACATCTGTAATTAGGTAAACAGCTATGTTCGGAATATCTCCAAACAGAATAAGAGAATATTTTTAGCCCCCCTAAAATGCAGAATAGATATTTTGGTTCTTTTCGTTTGGTTCAGGGAGGACAGGTCTGTAAACAGCCATGGGCTCCACCAGCAGACACACCAATAAATATTTTATAGACACCACTTTCATATGATTAGGGGCAAGGGAAACATGCAGGTCGGAGGGAGAAGGCAGAGATCTTTAACAGCTTTCCCTGGCAAGCCCTATTTCACCTCCTCTCTCTGCTCACAATGGGAGGGGGACAGGGGATGTGCCTGGGAGTAGACACGTGACCACCACATTAGGTGAGACACTTCTTTCCCTGACCTTCATTCAGCTTCCCCAACTCTAAGTAAGAGGATTGAAGGAGAGGATGTCTGAGGTACTCTCGGCTCCTAAAAACTGATACCATATCTCCATACTAATTCAGCTTTGCTCTGTGCCAAATGCTGATTCATGCTAGGGAGATACAGCTGAGAGCCCATGAATATCTAAGACCAGCCCTTCGGGTAACCGCTCTGACGGTTTCCTCCCTGCAGCACAGAAGCTGCGGGCTTAATGGAGAGCCATGCCAGAGCCTCTGTTTTCTCTGGTGGAGGTGGCAGGGGTCAGAGAGAGGTTCAGATCAGGAGGACAGCTGGAGAAGGGAGGAGAGAGAATAACAACCCCCATTGGATCTGTTTCTCATGTTATAAGCCCCTTTTTCATCTGTACAACACCCATCTTCCAGGTAAGGGAATGGAAGTTCAGGGAGGTATCCATCTAGGGCCACGTGATTTTCAACAAGGGTCCCAAGACTCTTTAATGGAGAAAGATGAATCTCTTCAACAAATGGTGCCAGGACAACTGGATGCCCACAGGCAAAAGGATGACGTTGGACCCCTACCTCACACCATATACAAACATGAACTCAAAGTGGATCGATGACCTAAATGTAAGAGTTCAAACTATACAACTATCAGAAGAAAAGAGGGGTAAGTCTTCATGACGTAGGATCTGGCAGTGGATTCTTAGGACACCAAAAACCTGATCAACCAAAGACAAAATAGATAAACTGGACTTGATCAAAATTAAAACTTTTGTGCATTCAAGATGTTATTGATAAAATGCAAAGAGAACCTACAACCTGGGAGAAAACATTTGCAAATCACGTATCTGATAAGAATCCAGGACCAACAATATATAAAAAACTCCTATAACTCAACAATAAAAACAACACAATTAAAAATGAGCAAAGGGGATGGGGCACCTGGGTGGCTCAGTCCATTAAGTGTCCGACTCTTAGTTTTGGCTCAGCTCATGATCTCATGGTTCGTGAATTCAATCCCCACATTAGGCTCCGTGCTGACAGTGCAGAGCCTGCTTAGGATTCTCTCTCTCTCCCACTCTCTCTGCCCCTCCCCTGCTCTCTCTCTCTCTCAAAATAAATAAACTTAAAAAAAATTTTTTTAAGGCACCTAACTCTTGATTTCAACTCAGGTCGTGATCTCAAAGTTTGTGAGTTTGAGCCCCGAGTTGGGCTCTGTGCTGACGAGCATGGAGCCTCCTTGGGATTCTCTCTCTCTCTGTCTCTCTCTGCATCCCTCTCTCTCTCTAAAAGTAAATAAACAAACTTTTAAAAAAATCTTTTAAATAAAGCACAAATTTAAAAAAAAATGAGCTAAGGGGAGCCTGGTGGCTCAGTTGGTACAGCACGCAATTCTCCATCTTGGGGTTGCAAGTTCAAGCCACATGTTGGGTGTAGAGATTACTTAAAAGGCGAAACTTTAAGAATGAATGAATGAGGGGCGCCTGGGTGGCGCAGTCGGTTAAGCGTCCGACTTCAGCCAGGTCACGATCTCGCGGTCCGTGAGTTTGAGCCCTGCCTCAGGCTCTGGGCTGATGGCTCAGAGCCTGGAGCCTGTTTCCGATTCTGTGTCTCCCTCTCTCTCTGCCCCTCCCCCGTTCATGCTCTGTCTCTCTCTGTCCCAAAAATAAATAAATGTTGAAAAAAAATTAAAAAAAAAAAAAGAATGAATGAATGAATGAATAAAATGAGCAAAAGACTTGAATAGACATTTCTCCAAAGAAAATATAAAAACGGCCAAACAAGCACATGAAAAGATGCTCAACAGCATTAGCCATTAGGGAAATGCACACCAGAATCACTGAGGCACACACATCACCCCCACTACAAACAAACAAAACACCATGGAAAATAACAAGCGTTGATAAGGCTGTGGAAAAACTGGATCCCTCAGACACGGCTGAATGAGAATGTGATGTGGTGTGGCTGCTGTAGAAAAGTTGAGTGGCTCCTCGAAAAGTAAAACAGAGAATTACCAGATGACCCAGTTAATCCCACTGGCAGTGATGTACCCCAAAGAAATAAAAGCAGGCACTCAAACAAATACTTGTTCACGAATGTTCAGAGTAGCACTATTCCCAGTACTCAGAAGGTGTGAAGAACCCAATGTCCACCAACAGATGAATGGATAAACAGAATGTGGTTGATCCCTACAAACAGAGTGTTACTCATCTGTAAAAGGAAGGAGTTTTAGCTACCTGCTACAACATGGGTGAACCTAGGGGCACCTGGGTGGCTCAGTCGGTTAAGTATCCAACTTTGGCTCAGGTCATGATCTCACGGTTTGTGGGTTCGAGCCCTTTGTTAGGCTCTGTGCTGACAGCTCTGAGCCTGGAGCCTGCTTGGGATTCTGGGTCTCCCAGTCTCTCTGCCTCTCCCCTGCTCATGCTGTCTCTTTCTCTGTCTCTCTCAAAAATAAATAGACATTAAAAAATTTTTTTAAATAAAATAAAATGGATTCCACTTTTTAACTGAAAGGAAGCTGTAAATTGAAAATATCATCCATCCATCAGAAGGTAATCTTAAAAATAAATGCCCCAGTGCCTGGGTGGCGCAGTCGGTTAAGCGTCCGACTTCAGCCAGGTCACGATCTCACGGTCCGTGAGTTCGAGCCCCGCGTCAGGCTCTGGGCTGATGGCTCAGAGCCTGGAGCCTGTTTCCGATTCTGTGTCTCCCTCTCTCTCTGCCCCTCCCCCATTCATGCTCTGTCTCTCTCTGTCCCAAAAATAAATAAACGTTGAAAAAAAAAA